GGGCCGTCCGTGCGGTCCTTTCCCTGCTCACGGGTCTCTTGCCGTTCTTACAGGGAAGTGTTCAAAGCCCAGCACCGACAGACGGGCAAAAAGGTGGCGCTGAAGAAGGTGTTGATGGAAAATGAGAAGGAGGGGGTAAGTGTGGGCGTGCGGCCGTGCTGTGCTTGGGAAAGGCGGGTTGGAGGGCTCGGGGAGGAGTGGCGGGCTTTGGAATGGCGGATTGGAGGGTGCTCCGTGTAACGTCAGCGTGTGTTCTTTAACTGTATTTACCGGTGTAACGTGCCAGGTCTTGAGTACACAGTGTGTGGGGGTGGGGCGGTTGTGCTGTGGTCAGTTGGGGCCGTGCTGTGCCCTCAGACAGGGGAAGGGAGGGCGGGTGTCTGCATCACCAAACACCTCCACCTTGTGGCTGAATCCCTCTCCTAAAGGTGGTCTGATGACCAATGAGTTATGCCGGTGTCCCTGTAATATTTTGAAGTTTCAGTTGCTCTTAAATAAGTTGTTGCAGTGCTATTCCTGCTGTGCTGCAGCAGTCCAACCTCTCCTGTTCTCTAGGCAGATGTGAGCTGCACTCCTAACCCATGTCTTCTGCTTCTCCTTTCCAGTTCCCCATCACAGCTCTGCGAGAGATTAAAATCCTCCAGCTGCTCAAGCATGAGAATGTGGTGAACCTCATAGAGATCTGTAGGACCAAAGGTAGCTGGCGGGGTCTCCTTTGTGCTGGCTGCTTGCTGAGGGGGTGTCTGTTTTCAGTCTTTGTTCATGGCTGAGCAGGCTGCTGTGTTGCAGTGGGGGTGGATCTTCCAACTGAGCACGGGCTCAAGTCTTTAATCTGGGGTGATCACACGCTCATCTGCGGAAGCTCATTCTGAATGAATGCTACTGTGTTGCAGCTTGGCTGGAAAAAGCTGTTGTCGGTGCTGCTGGAGTGTGCCTGTGCTATCACAGTGAATGCTGTGTGCTGTCTGAACGGCTTTAAATAAACCTGCAGCAGGATAGAATTTGAAGCAGAGGATTTTCTGCCTGGTGGTGGTTTTGCAGCTTTATGGTGCTGATGCCATTGGGAGCAGGAGATGTGCTTACAGAGCTCGTGGAGCTTTGTGCTGGTGACAGCTCCAGCTGGAGACATGCTCAGCCTCTTGTTCTGTGCATGACAGAACCCCCCAGGCTTTGAGGGCTGGATTAGAAGTGCTGCAGCTTCACAGTGAGCGATTCAGTTGCTCTGTGCTGAGCTGCTGTTCCACCTCGTCGCTGCAGGCAGTCCCAGGGGAAGGCAGCACGTCTGCGGTGTGACTGGTGTGCCTAATGCACCTGGCCTGCCTCTGTTTCCAGGGAAATCATTTTAAAGCATCTCCTCATTTTATATATCCTTCTCTTGTATGGATTTGTTTTGAAAGTGACAGGTGTTCAAAAAAGCAGCTTTGAAAGTGGCAGATGATATTAAAACCTGCCATGCTGCAGTCAGTCTTTTTGGTTAAATAAAATTGACAGCAGCACCTTTCTGCTGATGATGTTTTCTATGCTGAACTGGTAGCAACCTCAGGCTCAGATCTGGGAACCTGCTGTTGCTCCATAGAATGTAGGTTACTGCCAGTTCTTGGAACCAGTAGGTATGAGGAAAAACACCACCAACAAGTTAATTTTTAATTCCTGATGTGATTAAACCAGTTGTGATGACTGCATGTTTCTGGCATGCCTACGGTAAATATTTTTGTAGATGTGTCAAATCCTTTGGGTTTTGTTTAAATTCCAGTTTTCATCCAAATCTACTTTGACCTCAGTTTCAAGTGAAAAACAGAAAGGTTTCATTTACTGTTCTCAGACTTTAAGCTTTTCTCTCTTTATGTTGAAGAGGTGTTGTAAGGACTGCACCACTGTCAGGCCAGGGACCGTGTGTGCAATCTAGAAAGCATCCTCCAGGCATGCAGGGGGGAGCTCTGCATTCACTGTGCAGGCTGAGCTTAGCCCTCTGGTTGTTGTTGCTGATCAGCAGGTTTTGCTGTGCACAGCTGATGAAAATCAGCCTTTCATTTTGGTGTTTTGCCCGTGTGCTCTAGGAACAAGATTGGAATTGATTGCTTCACTTGAGGTTTCCTGTTATTGACCATAAATTGCAATTGAATCACAGAATGGCCAGGGTTGGAAGGGACCTTAAGGGTCATGAATCTCCAACCCCCCTGCCACACGCAGGGCCACCAACCTCCCCATTGAATGCTAGACCAAATTGGGGTTTTAAATCTGCATCAGTCTGTTTTCATAGATACCGTTTGAGGTTGCAGTAAACTTCACTTTCTAATGTTATTTTAGAAAGATCTGTGCTATTCTCATGAGTCTGTCCTTGCCTGTGCCTCCTCTAATGCTGACACAGTGACTGTGCTTGGCTAGCAGCTTTTTGTGCGCCCATGGGCTGCAGTTTGTAGGCATGAAACCCCACAGCCATTGTGCACACAGCACAACACACAAATGAAGCCTTTTTGCTCTTTCCTTGCCTTTCTCATGATACTTACTACCACTCTGATCCTCATCCCCTGTTCTTCAGTTGCTTGTTTTGCTGTTTTAATACCTCTTGTTGAAGCATCTTGAGGTGTCTTGGGTCCCTGTTTTGATGTTTCTCTGCCGTGAGGTTTCACCTACTGAGTGAGGATGGCTGGAGGTCAGGAGGAGCTCTGATGGGACTGAAAAGCCCTTGCTGACTGTCCCTCCTTGCCTCTCCTGTAGCCTCTCCATACAACCGCTGCAAAGGAAGCATCTACCTGGTGTTTGACTTCTGTGAGCACGACCTGGCTGGCCTTCTCAGCAACACCCACGTCAAGTTCACGCTCTCAGAGATCAAGAAAGTGATGCAGATGCTACTGAATGGACTTTATTACATCCACAGGAACAAGGTAACGGGCCAGATCTGTGCTGTGGTCTGAGGTGTCGCACTGCAGATTGGAGGGAAGTTCTACTTTGTCCTTCATCTCCCGATTCTGAGCTCCCTGCTGGCACCTGGGTGCCCAAGGAGGCGATAACTCAGTGGCTTAACTTCTTGATGTCTGTCCTTGCACAGATCTTGCATCGAGACATGAAAGCTGCCAACGTTCTGATCACGCGGGACGGAGTCCTGAAGCTCGCAGACTTTGGGCTGGCTCGAGCTTTCAGCCTGGCTAAGAACAGCCAGCCAAATCGCTACACCAACCGTGTTGTGACCCTGTGGTATCGGCCACCAGAGCTGCTGCTAGGTAGGAGGTGATGGGTGCTGCTGGCTTCTCCTCCCCTCACCTCATCCCAGGTGACTTACAGAGCACCTCTGTTTAGGGGAGCGGGACTACGGGCCCCCCATTGACCTCTGGGGTGGAGGCTGCATCATGGCAGAGATGTGGACCCGCAGCCCCATCATGCAGGGGAACACGGAGCAGCACCAGCTCACCCTCATTAGCCAGCTCTGCGGATCCATCACGCCAGAGGTGAGGGTGAGAGTGTGGGCAGGCTGTGGGACCTGCAACGCAGCAGTGAGGGCAGGGGCTGGCACAAGGCACTTCTAGTCCTCTTCACTCTCCTGTGTGGGCTGTTGTGTGTTCCCAGCACTGGAGTGTGGCTGCTGCTGGCAGTGAGGCTGGGGAGGCTGCTGGGAGCTGAGCGTCCAGCTGAACACTGAGCATCCGTGCTGCTGTGTGTAAACTCCAGCTCTCCCATGACTCACGGCACCTCCTTACACATAAGAGGGTGAATTTGGCCTTTTCTGGGATGACTGAGCAGTGTACTTGTTTTTGAGCACTGAGAGAATGCTGGTTGCTCAGTGTGTGAAAGAACAGAACGTCACATGTAGGAATCTGTTCTGTGTTCATCTGAGACACAAACCCCAAACATCCTCTGTCTTTCTGGTTTTTGTTTGTTTCGAGTGCTTTGCCTTCTTCACCTTGGAAAGCCTCTTTAGTTCTGGCTTGTGCTTTGTGGTTTCAGCTCAGCTCTTGTGTGAGCTCTCAGCTCTTTCTCAGTTTCTTAATTCAGGGAAGTCTGCCCTGCCCTCTGGTGGGGGATTGAGCTGGGAGAGATCTTGGCCAGGGCTGTAATTACTCGGGTGAGATGGGCAGGTGGTTTTGCACACAATGTGGAGGATGACGCCTCTGTTACTTACACCAGAAGTGCTTCCTTTTGTGCCCAAGCACTTGCTGCTCTTATCTCTCCCAGACTGAGGTTGATATAAGAGCAGGTGATTGCAGCAGGCTGTAGTTTCCTAGAATAAAAGGTGCTGCATACATCCAGGTTGTTATTTAGCAGAGAGTTTTGCCCTTGGCCCTTCTGGATGTTGGAGTTGGCCCAAGCCAACTAGTGTTCTCTAGTAGATTTTTTGTGTGTGTGTATGAAAATCAGAAATCCTGGAGTATCTTCAGGAGTGCCATGCCATGTGCTGTTCCCACAGCAGGAGGATTCTGTCCTGACTTGTCTGCATGTCTTTAGGCCTTAGTGCACTCTTTATTGCCTTCTTTGTGCTGTGGGAACGAGGTTTGCTGACTGGGAGTTATAAAATGGTATTGTTTGCTCCGCAAGCCTCACGCTGGTTTGCCTGAGGGTGTCAGGGAGCGCTCAAGCCACTGCTGATGCTATCTTCTCCCAACCTCTCCGTCCTGACCCTTCCAGGTCTGGCCGAATGTGGATAAGTATGAGCTGTACCAGAAGCTGGAGCTCCCCAAAGGCCAGAAGCGCAAGGTGAAGGATCGCCTGAAGGCCTACGTCAAGGACCCCTATGCACTCGACCTCATCGACAAGCTGCTGGTGCTGGACCCGGCCCAACGCATCGACAGCGATGATGCGCTGAACCACGACTTCTTCTGGTCAGACCCCATGCCCTCGGACCTCAAAAACATGCTGTCCACCCACAACCAGTCCATGTTCGAGTACCTGGCCCCACCGCGCAGGAGGGGTGGGCACATGCCCCAGCAGCCAGCAAACCAGGGCAGGAATCCTGCGGCTACCAACCAGACTGAGTTTGACAGGGTGTTTTGAGCGGGGTCCTGGCTGGGCTGCTCTGCGGGATGTGTTGAGCAGGGGCATCTCAGCAGGGTCTCTCTCTCTGATCAGGGACTTCCTTCAGGGCCAAGTGCCTGGTGGCTTTACCTGAGCTCTGCCCTCCCCTCGCCTTGTGCAGCAGCTCTGCCACCAAGGAGCTGTGGGAGGCAGCTGTGTGTGTGTGAGTGGGGAAGTGATGCCTACGAGCCTGCAGCTGTTTCCCTGTGGCTTTGGCACAGCCCGTGTCGCCATGGAGCAGTCCATATTGATTATGTTAATCTTGTGAATCGATTGCTACGGATCTGATGATGGAGAAGCTGGCTCTGTCAGCGCTGGGGTTTGCTGCAGGGAGCCCTGCTGGGAGCTGTCTGCAGCTCTCATTTGGTGTTAGCTCCTGTACTGCATATCCTCTGAGCACACAAGTGTTGGTGTAGGATGCTGCAGCTGCTTCTGAGTAATGTGGGGAAAGCAGAGTGGCTCCAGGCTTAATGACCAACTCTTGCTCCAGCCTTGAAGGGGACTTACTGGGCCGGCCACGCTGATGGAACTGGTTGCTCCATACATCCAGGATTTACAGTAGGAATTAGCACTCAGTGTGCTTTCTTGGCTCTAGAGTGCAATTAAGTTCTTTGTGGGACACACCCAGACAGCTGCCTGCTTGCTCCCCATAGTGCTGATGATGGAGCTGGAGTTGCTGTACTCAGGCTGTGTTCTGGCCTTTGCTTGGAAGCAGCCCCCTGTCCTTGCAGTGCTTCACAGCATGCTTGTGCTGGAGCTGCAAGGGCCGCTCTGCTTACAAACGCTCCTGTGTGCATTCCTCTGTCCTGGAGCCATTTGTGTGCAGTCTGGAGCAGGACTACTGCCTTCCCCGGGGACCAGGTGCACACCGGGCACTGCCGGAGCACTGGTGCAGAGCAAGAGCTCCTTCCCACCTTGTCTTCCATGACTGACCTCCAGCTGGAGCTGGCTGCCTTTTCCCAAGCCACACGAATCCCCAGACTTTCCAATGAGCGACGTGTACAAAATGCAGGGGGTTATAACCTTTGCCATTTGATAAGTTGTCCGTTAACCAGGAGGTAGCAGAGCAGCTCCGCACACACGGCAGCGGGCATTGGACTGGTGTGAGAGCAGTGGATGAGGATGATAAAGGACACCTATAAGGTAAATCTGACATGGTGGAGGGCTCTGCAATAGTGAATAGCGCCTGGCTGCGGAGGGGACTTGATGTGTCTTCTTTTTTTTTTTTTTTTTTTTTGGACAAATGAAGTTGGTTGCAAGCAAAAAGCCAGATTGCTCCGTCAGTTGTGAAAAAACACGGTGCCGTTCCAAAGCGCTGCTTCCTTTCCCCTGCGTGTGGACGTGCCGCTGCAGCCGGCTGCGGGGAGGGATGCGGCGGAAGGGGACGCGTGGCTCCGCTCCCCTTTTGCTGCGCTCCGCAGCGTCGCGGCGGGATGGGGCCGCGGGGCGACTCCGTGCGGGGATGGGGGGGGGGGGGATCGGAGGGACGCCCTCAGCGCCCCGCGTGGCGCCGCTCCTTTTTGGGCCGCCCCGCCGCCCCTCTCCGTCACGTCGCCCGCTCCGACGTGGCGGCGCTTTGCCCTTTCCAAAGATGGCGGCGGGGCGGGGCTGCGGCCTCGGGGACGGCGGCACGCGCGGGGTGCGGGCGGTGCGGGGCGGCGCGGAGCGATGGTGGCGCGGGGGCTGCGCGCGCTGCGCGGGGCGCTGCGGGGAGCGGCGGGGAGCGGCGGGAGGCGGCTCAGCACGCGCCCTGCCCGCGTCCCTGCGGCGGACTATCAGGTAGTTGGAGCCGGGGGGGCTGCGGGAGGGACGGGGTGCGGAGTCGGGCCGGAAGGGAGCGGGCGTGCGGGGTCGGGGGCCGCTCCGAGTTGGAGTTATGCGGGAGGGGAACGGCGGCGGGGCGTCCGGCTGCGCTCCGGTGACGGTGAGCGCGGGCCGGGGGGAGAACCGCGGTGCGGGGCCGTCCAGTGCGGGTGCGGCACGTGGGCTTCCCTGGGGGCCGCCTCGGCGATAAGAGGTCGGTGCCCTCCGCGCTCACGCCGCAGCGGGCGCGGGGCCGAAACCGCCGTGATGGGCGCCGCAGCCGCCGCTTCGTTCCAGGATGCCATCCGCACGTTGAACACGCTGCAGACAAACGCCAGTTACCTGGAGCAGGTGAAGCGGGAACGCGGAGACCCCCGGGCCCAGCTGGAGGCCATGCGGGGCTTTTTGGAGAGGAGCGGGCTGCAGGTGAGCCCACGGGTCCCGCTGTGGCATCTGTGTCCCCGCACGTGTCCGGCTCCCCACGTGACACGCGGCCCCGGGGTCTCACGCGGTGCTCACCCTGCAGGTCGAGGACCTGGATCGCCTGAACATCATCCACGTCACGGGGACGAAGGGCAAGGTGAGTGGGAGTGAGTGCTGGGGGTCGTGGAGGGGACACGCTGCCGTTCTGCTTTCCCCTCCCCCCATTGCTGTGCTGATGTCGGTGCGTCCCCAGGGCTCAGCCTGTGCCTTCACCGAGCGCATCCTGCGTGGCTATGGGCTGCGGACTGGCTTCTACAGGTGGGCAGTGGGCGCTGGGGGGGGGGCTCTGGGGGTGAGCTGGGGCTGAACGTGCCCCAACATCCTGCCCCCCCAGCTCCCCCCACTTGGTGCAGGTGCGCGAGCGGATCCGTATCAATGGGCAGCCGCTGAGCAAGGAGCTGTTCAGCAAGTACTTCTGGCTGGTGTACCGCCGGCTGTGGGACACTAAGGTGGGGTGCGGGGTGTCCCGGGGCTCATTGCGGTGTGGGGAGCCCCCACAGCCCCCCCCTGATGCCCCCATCCCACAGGACGAGGCGCAGGCCAACATGCCGGCGTATTTCCGCTTCCTCACCATCATGGCCTTCCATGTCTTCCTGCAGGAGAAGGTGGGTGGTGTGATGCTGGGAAGGGCTGCCTGGCGGTGGCAGGGTCAGTGTCCCCATGGAGCTGTGGTGCCGAGTGATGGGGTCTGTAGGGATGGGATGGAGTCAGACCTGGGGATCTGAGAGCTCTTTTCCAGCTGGAACCGTTCTGTGCACACAGGTGGACCTGGCGGTGGTGGAGGTGGGCATCGGTGGTGCCTTCGACTGCACCAACATCATCAGGTAGGAGCGGGTTGGGCTCTGCACCCTCTGTGCCATCCCTGTGTCACCGCCGTGCTCACGCTATGTCCCCAGGACACCAGTGGTGTGCGGCGTCTCCTCGTTGGGCATCGACCACACCAGCATCCTGGGGGACACTGTGGAGAAAATCGCTTGGCAGAAAGGTGGCATTTTTAAGGTAGGAAGAAGGCCTCACATCCCATTCCAGCCCTGTGTCTGGATCCTAACCACCCATCTTCCGCAGCCTGGCGTGCCAGCATTCACAGTGCTGCAGCCCGAGCAACCACTGGAAGTGCTCCGGGACCGAGCACGGGAGTGTGGGGTGAGCTTAGGGGACAGCGTGGGGCTGAGCCTTGGAATGGGGGGCTTCCATGGGTCCAGGCTCAGCCTCCTGTCCTCACAGTGCCCGCTGTACCTCTGCCCCGAACTGGATGCCTTTGAGGCGGGGACGCGGGTGCTGGAGCTGGGGCTGGCGGGGAGCCACCAGCGCTCCAATGCTGCTCTGGCTCTGCAGCTCTCACGGACGTGGCTGCAGCGGCGCGGTTACGAGGGTAAGGCCCCACATGGGGCTGGGAGGGCACGGCCTGGGGGGTGCTATCGTGGCTCACAGTGTGCCACCCCCAGCAGGTACCGATGTGCTGCAGGACGTGCTGCCCGGAGCGGAGCTGTCGGCACAGCGCTCGGTGCCACTGGCACCCACGTTTTGCCCCAGTGATGCCATGATCCAAGGTGCAGTAGGGCAGTGTGGGGCTGTGCTTGACTGTGATCCCCCTGCGGTGACGTCCTGGTGCTGGGGGTGGCAGGATGCAGCCATGCTTTGTGCCTTTCCCCCCAGGACTGCGGGACACAGAGTGGCTGGGCCGTACCCAGGTGCTGCCGCACGGCCCTGTGACGTGGTACATCGATGGGGCTCACACCACCAGCAGCATCCAAGCCTGCGTACGCTGGTTTCGCCAGGCAGCCCTCAATGAGGACAAACCCCAGGAGTAAGGAGGGGACGTGGGGAGGGTGTCAAGGATAACGGGGCATAGGCAGCACCCATCCAGCCCTTGTCCCTATAGTGGCTCTGAGGTGCGGGTGCTGCTCTTCAATGCTACGGGGGACCGGGACACAGCTGCACTACTGAAGCTACTGCTGGTGAGGTTTTGGGGTGCTTGTGGGGGAGGTGCTGTCCTTGGGCCCCACTTTGCTGCGGGTGCTGGGAGCCATATGGTGGAGCTGCTGTCCATCTGTCCATCCATCTGTCTGTCCTGTACTGTTGTCTCCCAGCTCAATGCCCCCCTCCTTTCCAAGGGGTTCACAGCCCCAGCTGCAGTCCTAACACTCCCACCAAGCCCTGCTGGGCTGGGACAGGTCCTGGTGGCATCCTGGTAGCATTGTGATAGTGGGGGGCTGTCCTGGGAGTTTCTGTGTCCCCCACCCTGCTGATCTCCCTTCTCCGCACAGCCCTGCCACTTTGACTACGCCGTTTTCTGCCCCAACTTCACAGAGGTGTCGGTGGCTACTAGTGCAGGTGAGTACCGGGCTCTGGTGGTGGTCCCTCCACCCCACCCCCACCCCTGAACCCACCCCCATCCTCCCTGCAGACCAACAAAACTTCAACGTGACACTGGAGAACGCCCTCACACGCTGTGTGGAGAACCAGAAGACGTGGACGCGGCTGATGGAGGAGAAGGGGGGCCCCTGGCTGCCAGCCCCCCTGGAGGTGGGGGGGCTGCTGCAACCGGACCCCTTGCGTGAAGCCCTGCTCCTGGTGCCCCCGGCCGAGCGGCCGCTCAATTCCACCTCCCTCGTCTTCCCCTGCATCTCCCACGCGCTGCAGTGGATCGCGCAGGGCCGGGATCCCCACCTGCCCATCCCTGCCTCCAAGGTGGGGGCTCACCCGCACCCTGTGGCCACCAGCGGGGCCGTTCTGCTACAGGAGGCGGCCACCATCCGCGTCCTTGTCACTGGCAGCTTGCACCTGGTTGGGGGGGTCCTCAAGCTGCTGGACCCCATGCTGTCCCAGTAGTGGGGATGGGGGCTCTGCACCTCCTTGGACTTGAATGCTTGGAGGCAAATAGGACCCCCCCCCAAGCTGGGCTGTCCCTGCTCCTTCTCACCCCAGTGCCTTTTGTTTGTGCCAGCCCAGGGAGAGGCTGTCCCCATCAGGAGGAGGGGACACTTGTGATGAGATGAACTCAAGGTGCCCCCGGGCTCTGGCAGGGGAACTGTGAGTTCCCTGACCCCCCCCCAGAGCAGGTTTTGGGGGTCTGTGGGTGCTCTGTGCCCTAGGTATGAGTGATGCTTCAAGGCTCTGTGCCACTAATTTAATGTAGTCTAGGTTTTTATTATTATTAAGTTTGTAACTTTGACCTGGAGCTGGGCTGGGGGGTCCGGGTTGATGTCTGTGCACTGCCCCGGGCCGAGGGGGCAGAAGCGTGGTGCTGCCTGGCCCCCAGCCCCCATCCCAATAAACCATTTGCTGCTCCCAGTGCTGCCCACTGCCTCCATGGGACAATGCCGGGGGGGGGTCACCCCATCGGGGCTGCACCTGCTGCCCCCCAGCTGCTGCTCAGCGTGCATTTGCACCGCATTATCAGGGGAAGGATAATGCAGGGTCTGTGGGTGCCGGGGTACAAACGCTGCCTAAGTGCCAGGACACATCCTGGAGGCACCCACATTTTGCCCCCTACACTCCCATGTGCTGGGAACCCCCTGGAGGGGTGTTGCATGGTGCCCCCCCTTCCCCGCCCTGGGCTGCCTTGGGGGGGCCAAAGCATTCACTGAATGAGTAAGGGTGGCCCTGGGGACAGCGTGGGGCCATGGCCCCCTCCGGGCTCAGCCTGAGGTTTGGGGTAGAAAAAGGCTTTTATGGAGGCTGAGCCGGTGGTGGCGGTGGGGTGATGGCTGAGGGGGAGGCCCAGGGGGTCAGGCCATGCTGCTGGTGGAGCAGGGGGTGCTCTGGGTGCTGCCGATGCTGTGGTTGGTGCTGCTGCTCTCCGAGGCTGGCGCCGTGGTGGACACCGGCTGCAGTTTGGAGATGGGACCTGCATTACGCCGCCGGTCCAGGGAGGGGGTAGGAAGGGGGGGGGAGGGAAAAGAAAAATAATGTAGGGCCAAAAAACAAAACTCGGCGCCGGCAGGGCCGGCAGGGGGTGGCTCATCCTGGACGTGACCTTTCCAGCCCTGATAAGGGACCCGTCCCTGGCGCAGGGCTCGTGCTCCCCGGCCAACACAGCTCTGCACCCCCTCCCCGCCCCCGATAAGATGAGGGATGGCGATGGGCTTTGTGGGGACCTTGGGGACTGCAGCTGGCTCGCACTCATGAGATGCCTCGGCCAAAAAGGGATGTCTGGGTGATAGCAACATGACAGCCCCCCTCCCAGGGACATGCGGGAGGGTTGGGAATGGGGAGGAGGATGGCTTTCCCAGCAATAGGACATGTGTGTGGGCCCCCCCAATTCCCCCCGAGAGATACTCACGAGTATGTGAGTAGATATACCAGAGCCCAGCAGTGAGGAGTGCACCGATGAGGAAGGCTCCAAAGGTGATGCCCAGCACAGCAGACAGCCCCAGCCCTTGATCTGCAGTGGGATGAGGCCATCAGTGTGGGGCTACCTTCCCCAGACCCAGCAGTGTCCCCCCACCCTGCCCCGTGTCCCCAGCTCACTGTTAGGTGGCCGCCAGATGTCTTTCACCTTCACTTCCAAAACCTTCTCGAAGATGGTGTTGTTCTGCCAGGCAGAGGGTTGGGATGAGCATGGGGATATTCCAGCCCGAGTGCCACCATCCCATGGGGATGTGGTTCACTGCCCTGTGCCCAAGGGCTTTGGGGACCAAGGATGCTGTTCCCAGCTTGGTGATAAGCCCACTGATATGCCTAGGAGGGGGACCGTGGTGCCAGATGGGGGTGATGCTGACCTGCAGCCCAGCCTTGCACGTGAGGGTGGCAGAGAAGGGGACGTGCCTGCCCTCAGGGATGGCGTAGGTGAAGCGGAAGCGCCAGACCTTCCTGGTCCAGTTGCTGGGGGGCTCGTCCAGCATGGCCACGCTGGAGCTCTTGGCCTTGTTGCCCTGCACCAGCAGCATTGGCTCCATACCAGGGGCCATCAGATAGCATTCCTTGAGCTGCAGGTCGGCCAGGTAGTCCTCCAAGTGCATGGATGCCTGCATGGGGACAGGGTGACCATTAGGGATGCCGTCGCCCCACGGTGCGGTCCCCACCCCGGTGCCTGGGCCCCATGCACGGGTACCTGCACAAACACCTCTTTGTTGACCTCCAGCTCTGTCTGTGGTACCTTGAAGTCAGCAGTGGGGAAGAGGCGCAGGAAGAGCTCCCGTGGGATCGGACACTGAAAGGCCACCTGCAAGTAGGGATGGCGTCAGCCACTACTCTGTCACCCTCAGTTGGTGACACAGCCACCAACACTTACCCGCACGCTCCGGAGCACAGAGCCCTTGGACAGGCTGAGGATGAGCTGTGAGGAGAGGAGGAACGTTCAGTCAGCCCGGCCATAGAGGTGTCCCCATGAGCATCTCCGCTGCTGGGGTCTCCCCACAGGGTTGGGGTGGCTCTGGGGTCTCCCCATCAGCACCACAGCCAGCTGTGCTCACCTCATTTTTGGCATGGCCGTGGCTCTCCACCAAGGTGCCGCAGCCACTGAGCAGGGTGTGCAGCATGAAGTGCGTGGCGTTCTTCTCTGCCTGGCAGCTGATGTCCCGCAGGGTGATGTTCACCACGTCCTTGATGGGCTGCAATAAAGGCAACAATCGTGCCCAACTCCCTCTGGCGTGCCCGGCCAGCCCTCCTCTCACCTCTCAGCACCTGGAGCAGGTGCCCTCACCTCCAGGTGGGACCTGGCGATGACGATTTCCATGGTGTCATCTGTGCACTTCCAGGGCCTGAGCGTGAGGAGCAGCGTGCTGGATATGAGGTCAGGGCTCAGGGTTGATGAGATGGGCACCGTGGGCAGCTTCCTCGGCACCTCTGCAGGGAGAAGGCATGGGGGTCTGAGTGAAGACCCCCCCTTAAGCTCCCTGACCCCATTCATGCTCTGTGGACTGACCACGCTCGTGGATCTTCAGTGTGATGTGGGGGCTGATGGGGATGACGGAGTAGGAGGCGATGATGCTGTAGTTCTTCTCATAGGCTTTGGTGATGAGGCCCTGCTCTGTGTCGGGCAGCAGCTCCCCTTTCTGCGGCCCCATAGGGATGTGCAGGATCTTGTAGGTGCCGGAGGTCTGCAGGGATGGTGCAGAAGGGAGTGAGAGGAGACAGGGATTGGGGCAGCAGTGGGAAAGTGCCGCGAGGGCCGTACCAGGAAATTGAGGCTGCAGTTGTTCAGCATCAGGAGCCAGGCGAGGTTGGCTGGGCCCTGCAGGAGGAGGATCTGGTTGTTGGGCTGCTGTTCGGGGCAGCTCAGGGTCAGGTTCACCTCCGTGATGGGCAAGCTGCAAAGCCACAAGACACTCTCAGTCCAGCATTAGGCCCCTCTTGGGATGCCCACAAGAGATCTGGCCTCCTCCCCAGTACCTGGGCTTGTGCAGAAGCTGGACAATGTGGGCAGCCCTGGCACTGTGGGCACTGCTGCTGGTACAGCCCTTCACCTCACGGAAAAGGACCTCAGCCTCGAGGTGCGGCGTGGCATCAAAGTCCATCTGGGGAACGCAGTTCAGGGGGCTGCTGCTATCTGTAGGGAAGGCAGGCAGTGCTGGTGGCCACCAAAACGGCACCATTGACGTGGTTTTATGTGACAACCACGCTCAGGGTCTCCCAGCATCGCCCTGCATGTTTCCAGCACAGTGGAGCAGGAGGAGTGCTGTGCTTATCTCATCCCCCCAGTGCCACCCAGCCCCCCACCAGCCCCCTACCGCCCCCACCAGCCCCCCACCCCCCTCCCTGTGTCTCGCCGCACTTTCGCCCAGGTGGAGGTGGATCCTCTGTGGGTCCTTCAGCTCGCTGTAGGATGTGATGCCCCTATAGGTGTTCTGCACCCAGTCCAGCAGATGTCCCTTGGCAGCCTCTGGCAGCTCCGTGCCTTGCACCTTGGGGCTCAGAGAGGCGTCCTGCAGGTGAGCAGCACAAGGAGCTGAGGCAGCAGGGCACACAGATGCATCCCTCTCTGCCACCCGGGAAACACAGGACCCCCACTCCCGGTGTGTGCGGTGCTGCTCTGAGCCCAGGTGGATTGGCATCTCCAGAGCACTGACTGCATTGCACTCGGGGTCACACTGCAGGGATTTTAGGTGGCCGGCAGCACGCGAGGAGCTCGGCCCACTTTATTATTAGCCGCAAACAAAGCAGGAGGTTTATTTTGCTAACAAAGCTCCCGGCCCCGGCTCAGCTCGCTGGAGCCAAACCCCATCGCTGACCTTCCTCCCGGCAGCCGGAGGAAACAGGAGCTTTTTCAAGCGCCATGCGTCATTCGCTGCCTGGCCTGCCCCATGCTCAGATCTGCTGCCAGCAGCCAGCTGTCCCCCAGCTGTGAGCATCGTCCCCAGGAGGGGGGACTCAAGCACCCCAGGGGCAGCCCCAGGCCCTCCAACCCCTCCCTTGGGTCTGCTGTGGCACTCACAGTGTGGATGAGGAGGTCCTGGCACGGGGAGGTGATGCTGGCTGAGCACTGTGGGCACTGGAGGATGAGCACTGCTTGCCGGGTGCAGACATCAGCTTGTGGTATGATGGACACATTCAGCATGGGAACAGGGGTCTGCAGGGAACAAGAAGAGAATCAGCACTGCCTATGGCTGGGACTGACCCCCCTGTCATGTCCCCAGTGGGAGAGCAGAGAGGTACATTGGGCTGGCCCCAAACATGAGCCATGTGGGAGGCAGCAAGGATGGGAGATTTGGCCTTGGGGCAGCTGGAGGGATGCAGGGGTGCCACTTGGGTGTATACACACACCAGAGTGTGACAGACCCCTCTAGCTACCTCCTAATGGCCCACACTGGGGAGGAGCATCCTCATGCTGTGGCCCTTCATGGGGGTCAGAGCACCAGGGAGCGGGTGCTGTGTACCAGGCAGCAAGGTGTCACCCAGTGGAGACCGGAGCATCCCCACAGAGCAGCCCAGGACATCCCTGCACCATGGCCTGGAGCATCCCCACATTGCAATTGGTGCATCCTCACCCCATGCAGCAGAGCATCCCCACGCTGGATACCAGGATGTGCCCTCCTGTCTCTCCCAGCCCCATCCTGACACTGTGGCACCACCGCATTCGCAGTACAAAGCAAACAGCAGCAGCAGCACGGTGTGCAGGCGGCCGGCTGTGACCCCATAGAGCTGTGTGGGTGGCCAGGGACCCCGGGTGGCCCCGTGGCGGCAGGAGGAGCCGCGCTGGTTTTCCTGCCGCGTGTTTTGCGGCGCTCCATTGTTTTGCCCCCGCCAAGCATGGGGAGATGGAGGAGCTGGAGGCTGCGTCTCGCCCTCCGCGGCCTTTTTTTAGGTTTTTTCTTTTTGGTGTTGTTGTGTCGTGTTGGTTTTTTTTTTTTTTTAATTGCTTTGTGGGATCTGCTTATAGAAAGCAGTTTCCAGTAATTCTTCTAGGAGTGGAGCCAGGTCCCTGCCCGGCTCCCCAGGGCTCGGTGCCGGCGAGCCGAGTGCCACAGCCGTGACATCACTGTGTGTCCCCCGCCGCCTCTGGTGACAAAGCCGGGGCACCCCCGGCTCTGACGCTCACTTGCAGGCGCCTGCACCAGGGCCAGGCTTCCTGCTCCCTTGCCTGTGCCCCGAAAAGCAGAACTGGGAGAGCTGGGAGACGGTGAGGACCAGAACCCAGTGCTGCGTTTGCTGGTGCCTCAGCAGCTCAAAGGGAGCCCAGCCTGGTTCCCGCAGCCAATTTTCCCCTAATGCTGCCTCCTCCTGCCCAGCCAAAGCCCCCCACCGCAGGGCTGGGCAGTGCACCAGGCAGGGGAGCAGTCCCAGGCTCACTGCCCTGCTGTGCCCGACCTCAAGCACCCACAAAGCACCATGCTGGGCACGCTGCCTCGACCCAAGCGACTTCCTCCATCCTTCCCTGCATCCATCCATCCCTGTGGACATACAGGTACCCAGAACACCCAGTGCAGGGACAGTCCCTGTAGCTCAGACTGCCACCTTTATGAAGAGTTTAAACTGTCCCTTTAGGGACAGAGCAAAACCACAGCTTCATCTGAGAGGGGAAGTTGGGCCATGTCAGGGAAATTGCACTGTGGAAAAGGTTAATCTGGTTTCTCTCGCTGCTCGTTACTCAGAGGAAACGATTTTGACAGCAGTCTCAGCTGCATTCACTGCTTGCTGGTCCCACAGTGCCAGGACTGCGTTTCCCCAGGGGGAGCTGGAAAAGGAGCAGGCTCACCTTCGACCACTGGATGCTGAGGACGTGAACTTCATGTTCAGTGTGCGTAGAGCTGCTGCTGACGCAGCCCCGCAGCACCGTGCTGGTGGTGTAGGACAGCGTGATGGGAGGCTCTGCTGTCACCGGCTGCAAGTCGCAGTGCTCGGCTGGAGCGGGGTCTGGGCAGAAAACAAAGGGACATCAGTCACTGCCTGGCGGTGTGGGGACAGGGGACGTGCAAGAGGGGCTGTGCTGCGACACCCGCCTGGAGCTGGCGAGTTTGGTCCCATTAATGATCCTCAGATCCGGTCTGGAAAAAAACACTGTCCCTGTGCGGCTTCCCCCAGTGATTGGCCCTCCCCGGCCCCCGCTGCGGCAGGAAATCGGAAGGGCCAGGTGTGGAAATGGCACCGGGCTGTCCCTGCCGAGGTGCGAGGCGGGCGGCGCTGACACTGACCGTCCCCACGCTGCGGCTGCCAAGGGAAATCCTGCCTGCAGAACGAATGCTGCCTGCAGCTCCAGACCTGCAAACGCGGAGGTGACGGCCTGGGGCATTTCCCGTGCCCTGGGCAGCACCGTCCCCGAGCTGTCCCAGTGTTGGGGCACCCATGGATGGCCCTGCTGTGGATGCCCTCTGGGGCGGTGGGTGCTGCATTTGGTTCAGATGTAACCAGGAGCACCATCCCTTCTCCAGGGGGGCCCCCGATGGGCCACCAATGCAGGAGGAGGCGATGCCCTGTGTTGGGGACACCCTACGTCGGGGACGGGGCAAGGGCCACGCGTGCCATCCCAGAGCCACGTTGGGGTGGTGAGGCCGAGGCGGCGGGGTCACGGCGCAGGCCCCACGGTGACGCTGCCGAGGTCCCAACTATTGTCCAGCGCTTCCTCCCCATGGCGCAGCAGTCGCAGCATCGGGAGGAAGATAAACAGCCTCTTATCTGGGCGCCGCAGCCCGCGGCACTCTTCCCTGCACTGCTGCCCCGGCGGCACCGGGCACGGCCCCGATCCCCGGCATCACAGGGCACGTTGGGTGGCTCGTCATCCCTCCGGTGACACACTGCCAGGATGCAGCCGTGCAGCCCCACACAGAGCGGGGATGCTGCAGAGGGGCACTGGGGCAGCGGTGCCAAGCGGGCACTGTCCCGAGGGGCAGGCAGTGCTCTGCAGCATGATGTCAGGATCAGATAAGGGCGCTCAGCTGGGCCCGGCCTGCGCCCGCGGGGTCAATCAGATAAGGGGGCATTTATTTTTGTACTCCAGGAAATGTAAAAAAAAAAAAAAAAAAAAAATTAGAAGAAAGAAAGAAAGAAAACCCACTTGATGTTTTTCCAGCCTCCCACTGCCCACCCTCGGCCTCTCTGCTGTGTCGCCCCGGCGTGTGAGGGATTCCTGTTTTTTAATAGGAGAGGATCAAAGCCTCCAGGCACAGAACAAAGCCCTGTGGTGCCAGGGTGCCAGGCTTTGGGGGCTCCAGCAGGGCTGGATGCTCCCAGGCAGCACGGTTTGCTGACACTCGTGCAATGAGCTGGCAGGGCTCAGCCACGCCAGGAGTGGGAATGGAGGGAGTGCAGCAGCCTGGGGTTGTCATCCCTGGGTCATCACTGACTGCTGTGCCATAGGGAGGTGGCAACACAGGGTGTACAGCACAGCTACATAAGGCACGGGGTGGAAGGCACAGCTACGTGGCACAGGGATGCTATGGTGCACCCACATAGGATGCGAGCCATGCAGCACAGCTGCAGGTGGTGGGCATGGTGTAGCACTGCCACATCGTAGGACGTGGCCTGTATGGCAGAGCTACACAGGACAAGGACAGTAGAGGCACAGTTACATATAACAGGGGCCTCACTGGTTGGTTGTATAGGGCAGGAACCGTACTGAACACGCAGGACAAGGACTGCACGGCACAGATAAATAAACAAAGGACCATAAAACAGATGGGAAGGACAGGAACTACACTACATCACTATGTGGGACAGTATGGCACAGCTCCATAGGATGAGGCCCATATAGCATACAGTACAACCAAGTAGGACAGGGACTAGAAGGCACTGCTGAGTAGTATGGGGACCAAAGCTACATAGAACACAGCTCATGCAGCAGAACCATGTTAGTGCAGGGACTGTATGGCACAGCCACACAGGATGCAGAGTAAATGGCACAAGTACAACGGACACAGCACAGCAGCTGTTTGGCACAGCTGCTCAGGACAGAGACTGCACAGCTGCTAAGGATGGAGGCCCAGCAGCACAGCTATATGGGATGGGGAATATATGACACTGCTTCATAGGACACAAACCATATGGCACGGCTACAGGAGGGGGACCATACCTCATTGCTGCATAGGACGCAGACCTTATTGCACATCCCTGTAGGATGGGGACCACATGGCACAGCCATAGGACAAAGACAGTATGGCACAGCTATGGAGGACACAGACAGTATGGCACAGCTGCACAGGACATGGACCTTATGGCAGCTGCGCTGAATGGAGATCATATGACACAGCTATAGGACAAGTATGACACAACTATATAGGATGGGGTCCACACAAGCACAGCCCCATAAAGCACGGCCTGCATAGCACAAACCCCAGGACAGGGACTGTAGGGCATCCCGGCACCACTCTGTCCCTGTCCCATCCCAGCATGGCATGTCCCCATGTCCCCAGCCCTCTGCCTGCTGGCTGCTGTGGGTGCCCCATAGACCCTCCCTGTGAACCCGCAGCGGTCACGGGGTGAGGGCAGCGTCAGCACTGCTGGGGTTGGAGTGAAGGCAGCAGAACAGCGCCCACCTCCGTAGCCACCAACGGCAGGGTGCTTTGGGGGCTCCCATCCCCGCCGCCTGGGTGTTCTGGTTGACACTGGGACCACCGCAGGACCCGCTGTGTGCTGTGGTCTCAGGAAGGGAGCAGCAGTCGCACCGCTCTGACGCAAAGCTGGTGCCACAGCCGAGCTTTGAGGCCGCTGGAGGGGTCCCGTGTCAAAGGGGTCCCATGTCAGCAGGGTCCCATGTCAGAGGGGTCCGTCCCACGCCAGCAGGGTCCCATCCTTGTTCCCGGTACGTGTGCCTCACCGCGGGACGCAGCTCCTGCCTGATCCCGCCGCGCTCCGGGCACCTCCTCACCCTCGTCCCCTCCCGTGCCCCGCACACCACCGGGACCCCCCGGCCCCACTCACCGGGACGGCCGAGCAGCGCCAGCAGCAGCGGCAACAGCGGAGAGCTCCGACGGCACATCCCGGCCTCTGCCCCGAACCCTGAGCGCAGTGAGCGGGCGGCGGCGGCAGGAAACCGACTCCCTTCGGCAGGAGGAGGAGGAGGAGGAGGAGGAGGGTCGGCGGGCGGCGCGGCTCCGTGCCGGGAGGAAATGCCGCTCTGCAGCGCTGGAGCCGTGCCGGTTGACGAGGGGAGGGGGGGACAGGGGGGGCTGGGGTGAAGTGAGGGGGGGCCCGTGCCTCGGTTTCCCCGTTGGGGAGTGGGTATTGCTGCCAGCGCTGTGTCCCGAGGGATGGAATCAGCGGGTACGCCCTGGAACCCTTTTTGAGGTGGTGGCACAGAGCAAGAGCACTGGGGATCACAGCTCCTGCTTTGAGGATGTTCAGGTGTCAGAGAGCCCATTCTGCCCCCTGGTACAACCCCACACGTCTTAGGAGTGGGGAGGGGGCTGCTCTGTGTGGTGCTGCACCAATGCAAGGGAGACACGGGCTGCCCCACGGTGCTGACACTCAGCCCATGCATGGTTATGTTGTTCCCCAGCAGTGAGTGCCTCACAGCTCTGGGAACCAGGTCTGGGGCTGCTGGCAGATGTGTGGGGCCCACAGCAATGCCACCAGCCCTGTGTGTGCCCACAGCTAGGAACTGCCACAGCATCCTTGCTTGCAGGCAGGTTTGGGGTTTGGGAATAGTCCTGGGTCACAGCAGTACCGAGGTGGGAGCCAGAGACCAGCAGGATGCTCACAGGGACATTCCTGCAGCCTTGTCCCGTCCCCGCTGAATGCACACTGGGGTGGTTCCACCCCATTCCAAGGCCGTGGGGAGGAAGCGGAGCAGGGACCTGCAGGGAAGGCAGCGGGCCCGTCCCCGGCAGCAGCACGTCCTCGAGGTGACCTCTGTCCCCCCAGCACGTCCCCGGGGCGAGCAGCAGCCATCTCCAGCGACAGAGCACTGCCATCTCCTGGGGACCGCGGGGACGGGTGCAGGCAGCAGCGCCGAGCCTGAGCATCCCCTGCACCCGTCTCCAGGGGAGCAATCAGGACGCTCCAGCCCTGCTCACCATACGGGGAAACTGATTCAGGCTCACCTCACACCCCGAGAGGGGCGAGGGCACGAGGGATACTGGCTCGCTCCATCCCCCACCCGGCTTCAACCCGCGGCCCCCCGCCCCTCCTGGCCCCCCGCCCCCAGCGACACGCGCCTCGCGGTGCTGGCAGCGCCCCAGCCCCGGCCGGATGGCCGCATCCTTCCTGCCCGCCGCCTCCCCGCAGCGCCACGGCCCCGCCGTTGCTCATGGTTGCTTCACCCCTGGGCACCCGGCTGACGTCTGAGCCTGGCGCGCTTGGAATTGTTTTTTTCTTTTTTCCCTTCAGGAATTTTTCTAGGGGAATTTTTGTTCCCCCCCCCTCCCCAGCACATTTCCTTCCTCCACACCATCCCGGTGACCTGGCTTGCCCCCGAGCTGCTGCCCACCCCGTGCCTGATTTACAGCAGCCCCAAAGCGCCGGGAGGTCATGGCTCTGCTGCCTGCTGCCCTCACCCTGTCTAGGAACACCAGGGGGTTGCAATGCGTCTGAGCACGCTGCAGGCAGCTCTGGGACTGGGAAACCCTCAGTTCCATGTTCCCAATGCCAGCATCCCTCATATTCAGTTCTGCAGCACATTCCTGAGATATTCAGCCCCCCCTGAGGACCCAGGTGCTAGCCCCCACCCATGAGGACACCACTTTGGTGGCTGTGCTAAGATGCACGTCCACACAGCATCCTTCTGCCCCAGGTGACATCCAGCCCAGAGGCACAGCGGTGACACTGATGACAGTATGTGATTGGAAGGAGGACAGCCAGCAGCACGGCCAAGCACCCCACTGGGTAAAAGCAGTGAGGAGATGATGGAAATCCCCATCCTATGAGATGAAGGGTGAGGGCATCCCAAAACACCCCAATGGACAAAGGCAGCAAAGAAATGGTGGAAGTGGCAGAAATCACCATCTGATGGGATGAGGAGGAGGGACGGGGGGATGCTGCCCCTGGGATACAGAAGCAGAGCAGAGGAGGGAGATGGGGTTGGGGGGAGCGGGAAGGGGCCAGGACACAGCCCCAGGGGCAAGCAGTCGGGATGCTCCCTCCCTTCCTCCAAGCATCCCCCGGCCCACAGCATCGCAGCCGGGATAAACACCCGCTTCCTGCCCTTAATCAGCTTCAGAGAGGGGCTGGCTGAGGGGGGGGGGGGGGGGGGGGGGTAGAAACAAAAATCTCTGGAAAGAAAAACTCATTTCCTGCGACAGAAGAAAAAGATAAAGTCCGGGCTCATTAAAGTGAACTTTACTGGGGAGAGACGGGAAAGAGCCAAACACAATGTCCTTGAAATTTCCTTCGCGCGGCTCCGTCCACGAAAACAGGATAAGGCCACTTCCGCTGTCTCTGCCCCGCGCGTGCGGGGGGAGCGCAGGGTGGGGGGCGCGGGGCCGTCACAGCTTGTCGAGGTAGGAGCAGACCTGCTGGAAAACCTCATCCACGGTGCCCTCGGCATTCAGCTGCGGGGACAGTGATGGGGCGCTGGCTCCCTCAGCGATGCTGGGGGTTGGGTTGGGGCTCGGCCACCCCCACGTGCTGCTTCCCCCCCTCCCTGTATCCCGCTCACCTGTCGGACGATGCCCCGGCCCTTGTAGAAGGCGATGACGGGCTCGGTAGCCTTGTAGTAGGTCTCCAGGCGCTTCTTGATGGTCTCCTCGTTGTCGTCCACCCGCCCGCTGGTCTCTCCCCGCTTCAGCAGCCGCTTCACCATTGTCTCCTTCCCCGCATCCACGTAGAGCAGCAGCGTGGGGGGGCCGATCTGCGGGGACACAGCTGTCACCGTGTGGGTCTGGGTGTCCCCACGTCTCCTCCGGGTGGGGCTGGAGGTGTGACACCCAGCAGGAGGGGGACAGCACAGCCATCACCCCAGTCACCCTCTGCCAGGCCTGGGTGCAGCCCAGATGTCCCCTCGCCGTGCGGGCCGCAGATGGAAGGCGGCACAACACGACGTGGCGCACACTGAACTGCCCTCACCTTCTTTTCAAACTCCTCTCCCTGCTTCACCTCGCGGGGGTAGCCGTCAATGAGGAAACCCTTGGAGGTGTCTGCCTTAGCCAGCATGGCGTCCCGCAGCATGTCCAGCACTGTGTCCTGGTGTGGGGGCATACAGCTGTCAGGGTGATGTGGGACCGTGTGCCCTATTCCTGCCGCTGCATCACCGCAGTGTCCCCACGTCACCCTGTGTTCATGGCCACAAACTCACCAGAGGCACCAGCTCGCCCTTCTCCATGATGGCTTGCAGCTTCTTGCCCCGCTCCGAGCCCGAGCCGACCTCTGCCCGGAGCAGATCCCCAGTGGAGAGGTGAGTGTACCCATACTTGTGCACAATCTTCTCACATTGCGTCCCCTTCCCCGAGCCGGGGCCACCTGCAAGTCACACCAGGGCCACCGTCATGTCCCATGCCCCATCTAGTGGGGGTAGGAGGAGAGGCAGCCCAGACCCATCAAAGCCTGGTGAGAGGAGACAGGATGGATGGAAAGAGCTGTCGGGGTGGCATAGGCTGCTGGTGTGGCTGATGAGCCATTGGCACATGGGCATCATTGCCCTGATGGCACCAGAGGCACTGTGACCAATATCCAAGACATCACTCTCCTGATGGCACCCTGGACATCACCACACCATCAAACACCCATGACATCACTCCCAGGAGTTTGCCATCACATCACTTTGGATGCTGGCACCCCAAGCTTTGCTAGACCCTGCTGGTCCCAGACACCCCACACCGGCCACCTCTGTCCCAAGCCCACTTACCCACCACAAAGATGATCTTGTGGTGCTTCAGTTTTTCTGGTGGAGAGAAAGAAAAGAAAAAAAAAAAACCAACAATAAATCTAAAAGCTGGATTTTACAGTAAGGAGCAAACTGTCCCCAGTGCAGGACTGAATGAGGGGTGGTGGGGACCAACCTCAACCCAGGGAGGGCAGAGTAGGGAGCACCCATCCCTGTCACCTGGACAGTCCAGGACATCAAAACTGGACATGCTCAAGCACTGAGACCCCATGGTGCCTTGGCAGCTGTGGGGCTGAGCTGTGGGCTTGGAACTCCACTGCATCCTGGAGACAGTCACTGTCCCCGGCCCCACTGAAGGAACCAGCAGGGACAGCCACATCCACCCCCATGGCCAGCTCCTAGTCCTGCTTGGTGCAGCATGGCACGCATGGAACAGCGCCTGGGGTCTGACTGTCCCCAGAAATGACACAGCCCATCCACTTGGAGCATTCCAGGTCACAGAACAGGGGGGTTTTCCCTGCAGGATTTCCCCCCCGCCCCCCCCCCCCCCCCCCCCAGGATCCATCCCTGCCATGAGTTGGGATCTGACAGTGCAGAGGGAGGGAGCTAAAAATAATGTGAGCCACCTCGGGGCTGCACTGCCCATCTCTGGATCTCAGTCTTCTGAAATTTCAGCTCCTCCAGCAGCCGGTGAGCCCAGGGCTGGGAGGGAGCCAAGAGGCTGGTTTGGGGGGGGGGCAGGAGACATGGGGTATGTGGGAGATGGGGGGAAGCAAGGGGGAGAAATAGGACAGAGGCAATGGTTGGACAGGGAGTGGATGTAAGGGGGACGCAGAGACGGGATGGAAAGAGGACACGGAATGGACACGAGGGGGAGACAGAGGGGACGGGCACTACTGGAGAACACAGAAGATGGACACAAGGGGGGGACACTGGGGATGGATGAGAGATTGAGGACTTGGATACAAGGGAAACAGAGGAGATAGATGGAAAGAGAACATGAGACAGACACAAAAGGTGACATAAGGATCAGATGCAAGAGGGACAGAGGTGACAGATACAAAGAGGACACGGGAGACAGGGACAAAGGGCTGAGAGATCAGATGCAAGGGGGAGAAAAGAGATGGGCATGGCAGGGAGAAGTGATGGACACAACTGTACAACACAGGAGGATGGGGGGGACAGATGGATGGATGGGAACTAAGGGATTAGATGCAAGAGGAACAGAGGGAACAGATAGACACAGGGGATGGACACAAGGGGAGCCAAGGGTTTAGATACAAGAGGGACAGAGAGGACAAATGCAAAAAGGATGCAGGAGATGGACAAGGAGGAAAAACTGAGTATATACAATGAGGTATAAGGGATGGAGGCAACAGAGGTTGGAAAGAATGGATGCCAAGGGAGATCGAGGGATCAGATGCAAGGGGGGTGGATGCAAAGGGGATGGAAGGAATGGATGCAAGAGGCACAGATGTCAAGCACTCACCTGTAGACATGCTGCTGCTGTCTGGGTGGAGGAGCACTATAGGCTGCAAGGGAAGCAAAGCAGAGTGAGCAGCACGGCGGGGACACAAGGGTACCCAGCACTGAGGCCTGGAGAGGATGTTGCCAGGACAACAGCTCTCCCTTTGCTTCCACGATGGGATGGAGCAGATCTCAAATTGAGCTCTAGGGCCACGCTGGGGGACGGGGTTTCCCCCCTGCTAGCATTACTGTTCCCCAACTTGGCCCTCAAATCTACAAAATTTCTAAAATACACAAGAAAGGCACAATGCTGCCCGAATTCCATGGCTCCAGGAGCTGGGACCTCACTTCCTGCAGCCATCGCCTACCTCGCTGCCGGCAGCCACCCGCCCTGTGCCGGCGCTGCCGGGTGACGCAAGGTGACAATACCAGCACCCTGCCCTGCCCTGCCCACATCCCCATGCCTGGGGTGCTGCCTGGCAGCCGGAAACCGGCTTGGGGTCACACATGGGACCAGGACACTGAGAGATGGAGGTGGCGTCCTACGTTCCTCCAGCTCCCCGCGTGCTGGAGGGGAGGCTTTTGAAGGGCTCAGCCCGTTCTCGGTGCCCAAGTTGGGGTGGCCGCTCCCTGCTGCCCCTCCAGTTCCTTGCTGTGGGTTTGGCCATGCCGCCTGCCCGCACCCAGCCCCGCAGCACCCCACCTGCTCAGCCACACCGCGTCACCTCGCTGTCCCCAAACCGGCCAGACCGGGGCCGAAGGAGCCGCGGCCATCCGTCAGGTCGTGTTACAGCCGGGAAAGGGCAGAGGCTAAGAATGGATGGGTTGAAATCCGCACCGGGTCACGTCCCGCCTGCGCTGCGAGGCTGAGCCCGGCATCGCTCCATAGGAAGGGCGCAACCTGGGGGCTCCCCGGTAGGGGGGCACTGAGCGCACCTGGCAGCAGCCCTCGGCCCACGGCCTGACCCTGCGTGGTGCTGTGCCCAGG